GTGGAAACTGCCCATAGTGGGACGCAGAATGCAATTTTATTTTGGGACAAAAACGCAAACACCTCAGACTTGCTAAAATTTACTTATCTAAGAAATTTTGGATCTCTTATAAAAAGTGGAATGCTAATCTAAAAAGAGCCGTTAAAGTAAAAAAAAGGCAGCACTGGGAGACTATCTGTATGCACGCCAGCAAGGATGGTAATATCTACAGGATATTAGGAAACCTTCGTAAGGACGATAATCCATGTCAGTTGTCGCACATTATTCTTAACAGGTCAAGAGAGAAGATGTCTGGATGGCTGAAGAGCAGTGTGACATTTTTGCAAAACATTACGCAAACGCCTCTAATTGCAAACAACTGCCTCTGGATTTAAGTGAGGATGACGGCAGTAGCTTCAACAAGTCCTTCTTCAGAGTGAAACTTGACAAGGCCATTAAGAACCTCAAAAACTCTACCCCAGGGCAGGATGGACTCACAAGGACTGCCATTTTGTCTTTAGAAGAAGACGGCCTTCTGGAGGCTTGCAATAATTCGTGGTACTCTGGTCAGATCCCTAAGAAGTGGAAAGAGGCAGAGGTGATTCTTTTCTTAAAACCTGGAAGAGACAGCTCCGAGATTTCTGCTTACCGGCCGATCTCTCTGACACAAATCTTGGCCAAGGTAATGGAAAAAATGGTACTGAATAGACTGCTCCCAAGGTTTTAAGGAAGTGGGGAAACTCTCAGAGCAGCATTATGGGTTCCTTCCTAATAGAAGCAGCATTGTTCTGCTTAACAAAATCTATAGCAGCATCTTACATGACTGGAAAAAAAATAAAGTTATTCAGTTGGTTGCACTTGACCTCAAGGCTGCCCTTGACTCAGTCTGGATTGACGGCCTGCTTTAAAAATAATACAGTTTGGAGTCAAGGGGAACAGCGTCTTATGAATGAAAAAATTTTTAAATCAGAGAACTATAAGAGTGAAGTTCTTTCGAAGAGTTATGGGATTTCATGTGGTGCCCCACAGGCAAGTATCTTATCAACAATATTTTCACCATTTTAATGTATGACATCTATGACCCCATTCCACCTGCCGTTCAATGTTTCGTGTATGCAGACGACATCTTTCTGTACTGAGCAGACTGTTCGCACTCCATATGTATGTTGCCAGAGAAAAGCAAATCTGTCTTCTTCGGAGGAAAGAAAGGTAGAGAACCGGGTATTTTGAAGCTTAATGGTATCAATGTCCCAATGGTAAACGAGCTCAAAATTTTACGATTGTGGTTTGATAATAAGTTGAGCTGGAATACTCACGTAAATAAAATCATCGTAAATAAAATCAATTCGTTGGGATATCCACTTTTCTAGGCTGACACGCAGCTGATTTGTAAGTTGATCATGCTTTGCCTTTGAAATTAATAAGAAAATATCATTATGTACCGTAAAAGACTTAGGATAAATTCCTATCATGCATCAAGAGGAGACATTTTATTGACCTTGATTCAAGACTCAGAGCTTGAATGCCAGTGTGCAGTTCCAGTCTTTTAATACAGAAAAAGCGACACATCCAGTTAACATGAATTGAAAGGAATGACAAGCATGGTTGAATATTAATGCACAAATTCAAATTGCAAAGTTGACAACATAAAAAGACATCTGCGAATCATTTTCTGACACAAATCCAAGCACATCATGTGATGAACTTTCTGAAGAAGATTATAATGACACCGATGCATTCACTGAGATGAAAGATTGAATATTTGGGTTAGGGGTATAGCACTGGTCAAATAATTTCTAGAAATATTATGAACAGTTCATAAATGAGCATTTGCGTAACACTTGGAATTAGTTCCCAAATAATAACGGTTAATTATACGTCTGGTAGTTATAGATATTTATAGTAAAGTAGTTAAGTCGTATTGCAATTTTAAAGAATATTGTTTCTCATCGTTTAATGTTATCATTCAGTTGATGCTATCGAAATAGCCTAAAATTAAGTGATCACATTCATTGTCCAAGTGACTACAAATCGACTACCCGGCCTCATTTGTATCACACTAAGCTGCAAGAAGCTTGAACGGGAGTTTACGAATCCTCGAAGGTAAAAAAAAAAAAAAAAAAAAGGCGAGAAACTTCTCAAACGTACAGTTCTAAGAACTTAGATATTCAGTTTTACGAAGAGCCATTGAGAGGCAAAATGCGACATAGGATGTCGACAAGCCGAATTCCCGCTCAACTTCTTCATCTCTCTGTCTGTCGCTCTGTCTGGCGCTCCAATAACTTTGGAGCTTATGGCAGGGGAATGCAAGCGTATAAAATCCTGCAGCTTTATTTCCAACTCTTTCTCTTTCATTTCTATTTTCTTTTTACTTCTTTGTACGAAGTAAAGGAAGTATTGTAACCACGAAAAGTTCCGGGTATCATATTTCAACGAAAATATCCATTTTAACCGCTATCGAATGCAACTTAACGATGTTTTTCCGTGACATCTGTGCGTAAGGACAGAATAAAGGACTCTTATTCCCCAAACGGTTTATAAGCTGATTTAAAATTGATTTAGAAGAGATTTGTTTCGTTGCCGTCTGTACTTACATATTTATGTATCTCCCATAACTCAAAAACGAGTAGCGTCAGAACGTTGAAATTTTGTATATATCACTGCTATAACATGTAGCTGTGTGCACCTCCCTTTTTGGTTGCTATCGGCCGCACCAAAAGTATATATATATATACTTTTGGATATACTTTTGATATATATATAAATATCCACTCTCTCTCTCTCTCTCTCTATATATATATATATAAATATCCACTCTGTTACTCGGCTCCGCGAGCTCATTGCGCATATTTTGCTTTAAAAATGATTGAATTATGTTGTTCTTAACTTCCGGTTTAGTTTTTTATGCCTTTAGTTAATCTGCAGGCAATACTTGCAGAATTATCAAAAATTTAAAAGTTGTTTAAGTACAGGTAAGCCTTTTTTTTTTTTTTTTTTTTTTTAACCATCGCAGCCGTGTTTGTTTACATTTGAAATTTAGCGGAATAGTGAATTAAGTCTTTTTGCCGAGTGGAACCACAATAAAAGTATTAGTTTTGCGGACCGAAAAATCTGCCTTCTTGTTTGCTGGCCAAATTGCTTGTTTTTGTCTAGAAATTCTAATTTTAATTGCAAAATTATTTTAACTGTATTTGTTTTTTTTTTATGTTTTTTTATATCTTTTAATTTTTAATGTATATCATGTTTTATGATGATGTTATATGGAATGTATGTAATGCTTTATGTATGTTTTTAATGCATTTATGTTTTTTGTCCTGCCGCGAAGTGAGAACTGAATTAATTGAATGAGAAATATATTTATAATGAAATTCGAGGAAATAAAAAGTTTAAATGAAATGCAGAGGAAAAAGCGTATAATTTAATATTCCGTACAAGGAAGTCATGTGGTGTACAAATCAGATTTTTTATTTTAAGGATACAAAGTCTGAACTCAGTTATACTTACAAGCGACATATAAACTCAGAGGGGTACAAAAATATATTATTTTTTCCTTTTTTTGATTTTAATTTTTCGATTTTAAAAGTAAAAATTTTAAAATATCTGCTTTGAAAATTTTTAAATTACTGTACTGAATATTCTCATACGTTTAAAAAGTTGCTCTACGGGGCATAAAAGTTGTTTTTTCAGCCACAGTTTTTCATAAATTTTTAATTAAGCCTGATTTTATACTGCATCATTTCTTTTATAACAGATCTTTTTAATTATAGCATCGTGAAGGAATAAAAATGTCAGAGATTAGAGTTTTATAAGTAGTCAAAACCATTCCTCAGTTTAAGTTGATTTAAATCAAATGTTTCATGCCTTTCTGTAAACGTTCTGTATCGGATATTCATCTTCAGGGCGCAAAATAATACTTCTAAAAATTTAATTTTGCCTAATTTTGACTTTGGTATGATTTTCTTTCAATTATTACACTTAGATTCATACAAAACAGTCTGTGATGATAAACAAATTTGTCACAAACTTTGTAAATTATGGTAGTAGTGCAAAACTGATTTTTTAAAGAGATAGATGGTTGAATAGAGTTCTAAAATAGTATTTTTAAGCTGAATATTGATGATACGAAAAATTATCGGTCTCGAATGACTTAATTACGAAAAAAATTGAGACGTCATAAACCGAAACTTATCGCCTAGCACTTTTTGAGAAAGCATAATCACATTAGAATTCCACAGAAAACGAAATTAGTTTATATTATAATGTTAAAATATGAATACTTTTTAATTTATCTTGGAATTACGACCTGATATAACCCTGAAGTTAAAACGCTTTCGAAAGCTAGAATTTATGTCGGAGATATCTAAGCTACCAAATATCGTTGCTTGCTTTAAATGTACTTAAAATATTTTCACATTAACATACAGTGAATATTACAGCCTCTAAACTTTGATTAAGGAAGCTATGAATTTACAGTTATAAAGTAATTATTTAAACAGAAGAAATACACAAGAATTAATATTTTTTAATGGTTTTATATAATGAAACGGTAGTTTTCTTTTATTTACATTATATGAGTATTATATTAAAAACTTGTGCATTATTTTTTATTTTCTATACTATACTGTATTATTTAACTTTTGTTATATAATGTATATAAATATAAGTATATTTATATTTATATTTGTTTTTATAATGATACGTGGAAAATAAACTAAATAAAAATTACACAAAGCATTTAAGTATGCAAATCATTTTCGCCTTAATTTTAAGCATAATGCCCATGCATATTTAGCACTAAGTAATATGTAAGGTAGGATTGAATTCCATCTTTGTCACATTTTTATATTGGCATGTTGAAAATTTAATCCTGATTTAATATGCATTTCAGTTTAAATTTAGATTGCTATGTAATTATCAATGGGTAATTTGTTCACTGTTATTGAAACTTTCCTGAGTTATTTTGCTGAGTTCATTAAGTAAGGTAGGTATGTCAAACATAAGTAAAGACAAAGGACCACAAGTGGAGCAGATGAAATATATTTCAAAACTATCACATGAAATTGCACCTGTTATATTATAATATATAATACCAATATATAACATTGGAAAGTTATCCAGGAAAAAATGGAACGAAGAGAAATGCGAGTCTTAAGTTTGTTGACGTGTGTGTGCAAAAGATGCGCGCGTGTGTGTTCCATGGAAGGGATTGAAAACGATGCGCTGGACATTAGGTTCTCAAGTTCTGTAACGACGGCCTCATCAAAGAAGGCGTCTCTTTCAGCACCACCGTGACCGTGCTCACCTCTGTGTCCGAATCATGCCGCACCTTAGGCTCTGCATCTAGACAAAGATCTTGTTCGCTGGCCTCCAGACTATCTAGTTCTGTTCCCAAGGTGCTGGCCGTCTCAGAAGATGCAGGATCCACCGAATCGGCAGAATAGGACATAGCACTGTTCTTAACTTTCCTATCTGTTTCGATCTCGATGCGAGGTGCCGTCAAAAGAGAAGGCGATCCCCCTTCCAGAGAGTGCCGGACTGTGACTCTCTTCTTTTTGTGACACCTCTGGCTCAAGTCCGAATTCCCTCTATGAATGGTGCGTTCAAAGTTCTTAGCCACCGGTGTTGTTGGCTCACTAAATTGCTTATTATCCATAAGGATGGATTTCGGGCTCTTTTGGAGATGGTGGTGATGGTGGGGGTGCTTGGTGGGACCATGAGGAGAGTCCAAAAGTTGGGAAGAGGAGGACGTTGACGGCCCCGCAACAGGAGGTGCGGAAGAAGGTGCAGTTGGCGGAGGTGGTGACGATGATGAAGCGAAAGAGGCGATGATATTCGACATTCGGTGACGATCCTCCACGTACATCTCCATAAGTTGGTCCACTTTGCTTTCGATATCTTCTACCTATACGAACAAGTAAATGAGCGCACATGAATACAAGCAAATCATAATAAATAGTTCTGAAATGAAATAATTTAGTATTTAGGGAACATCAAATAGAATTTTTTAAGATCATTTTTAAGAAACATGAAAAAGATTACAAAGTTACAGAGTTAAAAAGCGCAATACAGATTTACATAGGACGCACAATGCGTGTACAAGAGTTAATATGCAAAATACTTCAAGAATAAAAATGAATTTGTTCCTATAATTACATTTTAAAATGAATGAGATTTGTCGTAAAATGATGTAAAAAATAAAATGATCAAAAGTTAACAAGAATAAACAATCTACAATATCGCTTTGATTTTTCTTAACCGCCTTCAGTTTGTTGCGTGCATAAAGGTCCGTAATAGATTGAATGCACACAGAACCGATGATAGCTCAATAAAATTTATTTTATCAAAAGAAACTATAAAGTATTTTCTCCCTCCTTCCAGCATGCCTTCATGGTGTAACGGTTAGTACGCTCGGCACGTATTCGAAAGGTTCAGGTTCGAGTCCCTGTGAGGGCACTGCACATTTTTAAGCTCTCCTGCTTTTAAAAATATCCTATGACTTTACAAAACACTATCCTATGACTATCACAATATCCTATGACTCTACAAACTTCACAGTTCTGGAACTTTCCAAAAATTACCCGTTCAGCTCTTCACGGTATCACAGATGCAATCCGTAGCTACATTTCAAACTACTAAGAACGTTAAACACAATGCCATGCAAAGCACATCTAAAAGGCGAAGCTCTCACGGATATTTTAATACTCCGAAGTCGTTCTGAAATAACAATTACTACTACTCCAAACTGATGCTTTCTCCAATCTTATATAACTTTCCCCAGATCGTGAAATCTCCAGTACTTCTCGAAATTACTGGAAGGCATATAAAGGCCAAATAGGGTTGCAGTTACATTTATACAAGTAGATAAATTACAGTTATTCAATTACAATACCCATTACAGTTACACAAATTCCGAGCCAAAATGTCGCCGAATAATCGCCAAGTTTGGCAAATTTCGTCGATTTGTCCCTTAAACTATCGCCAGCTTATCCAGCAATATAGCAAGATAGCCATTTACTCAATGTTAAGCAGACTTGCTCCTGTATTCTTATTTTTCCGGCAACGCATCACGTCTTCAGAGGTTCATGTTACATTATACAGAAAACGAAAAAATAAATTCACATATAATTTCATTAAAACTAGTCACATATGTACAAAATTCGTAACCAGTTTATTTTCGTCTATTAATTTAGGAAGGAAATAGATAAGCACTTACAGTTCTTTCTACTTTCACTATTCTCGAAGCTAAGCTAATTTTCGACTCGTACACATCTATGGATTTGGACCCGGCTTTACCTAAAATAGTATCTAACCTAAAAAAAAAGTTAATATATTATTTCACGATTGCAAAATGAAGTAAATAAGTCGAAACTAATAGCATATATTTAAATGAAGTAATCCTAAACTGGAAAAGAGTTTATTATAAAAAACTAATGCGTGCAGAATGCTTTTTTCCGGAAAAGACGGCAATCAATTCCTTAATTATTGCTTTCTGACATGCATATGTAATTCCAATCACATTCTAAGATATGGCACAGAATTTAATGAAAACAGATCGAGCGTTGTGGGTGGAATGATTCTGTAAAAATAAAATCTAATTTATTGTAAAATTCCTTAGCGTGAAACTTCCAGGGAATAGAATATGGTTTATGCTTTAAGTTAAAAACATGAAAAACAAGTTCGATATATTTAAGTACAAAATTTACAGACGTGTGTTTAATATTACATTTAAGGAAACAGTTACAAATTTTATAACGGTTGCTGTTTTAAATGTATTTCTTTTGACGATGATGATTCCATCTTGGGTAAGACTACAAAATAAGTAATATTTTTTTGCAATTGTTCTCCAAATTTGTTGTTTTATATATAATGTCGGTATAGGTCTGCGATGAAGCTTAATTCAGTAAATTCGTTTTTGAACACCTCCGCGAAGTTTGGTACCAAATTTTCATAAAATTTTCTATGGTATATCAATGAACTCGTACACAGGACCCCAAATATCCGAAATGACTGGGATCACGATAAGTGGATGGTCTTTTATTTTTGTAGGCTAAATATATGGACCGACTATAACGCAAGCGAGGAAATTTAATTTTTCCTTTTATTAGTATTTAATTTCGATAAAGATTATATAATTAAAAAAGGGAAAATATTTTCATTTCTATGAAAAATAAAATACAGTTTTATTTATAAAATAATTAGTTTATTTTCTTTACTCATAGAAATCTTTTCTCTTTTAACTTAAGGGAAACAATAAAATAAGAAATGTTTCTTAGGTTTAGAGCACTATATTTAACAGTAATATGCCGAATAAGTAATGTCATCTTTCATTATTAAGCAATATTGACGCTACTGATGTTAACATTTGCTCTCAGTTATTATTTTGACTTCCGATGGTATTATAATGATTATGAAATATACAAATGCAAAAGTCGTGCTAAATGGGAAGATACATCAGTCAAACAGAACTGAGAATGAATTTATTCTTTAACACGCAGGTAATGTGGGAGCGAAATGTATCTTCGCAAATAGCTTGGATACCGTCGCTACTTGGGAAAATTTGTGATTAAATTAGGAAAATTTTGGCCGCAGTAAAACAAATTTTCGATAAATTCTTTTCCGCTTACCAAAAATGGTGTCTGTGTTTAAAATAGCTTCCAAAGAAAAAATATAAACAAAAAGAATAGACATTTCAGTTTTTATCAGATGGCGCGCGCCGTGAAAGGTTATGTTTTTTTATGTCATTAACGTTGGCAATGACAATAGATTTCCAAAAGAGATAAAAGACGTCGGCTGTAATTATTTTTCGATCGTCTGTTTTTGTAAATCTGTAGTGTTTTGTAGTTACGTATTTTTTTTTCGTGTTCGAAATGTAAGAATTATAAAAATAAATAAATAAACTTTTTGAAAAAATAGGCTTCAGATTCTGTTCATGGAAATTTTGTTTAGGCAAGCTTGGCACCGATTAGACCATTCGAAAGAAACAAGGTAAGTGAAACCTTTTTCTTAATTTAGAATTTTGAATTGAAAATGTTATAGTTTTTCAAAAGTCTGTTCATGATGAGCAGTAAGCAGAGATTCAAGGCCTTCATTATGATTCATCATTGGCCATCCTGAAGAAGGCGAAAGTGATTTTTATGTCGAAAGAAGGGTTTCAGCATCTAAGAATGGCAGAAAATTTGGACTGTGCATTAGTAGTCAATGATGACTTATCTTAAAAAGACCATATCAAGCTAGACTCTGCCTAATGTATTTTAAGATCAATAAATTCACTCTCATTCCTTTTCTTTCAATTAGACCTCACATAACGTTTTAGAAAACTGCAAAGAAAAGGAAATGAAGAAAGTACTGCAAATAAAGTATTAATGATTTTACCTGTTCTGTAAATTTTTGACTCGACTTAGAAGGTCAACATGGCCTGCCGAGTACTGTTCTATCACATCTTTGACATCATAAGGCTTTAGGGCTTCTTTGAACTTGCGTCTGGCAACGAAATATTTTATCTGAAAGAATATTAAAAAAATATTGCTTTAGGGCTGTTATGTATTAATATTCACACAAACTTCCCTATGAGTTGCGAGAAGTATGAGTTATAAAATTTATGACTACTAGTTTTCATTATTACTCACAAGACCTTAAGACATTTTAAAAATTCATAACAAATAAATACATAACGAATACTTAATTTTATTGCATTAAAGCAGAAGAAAATTTGTTAAGATCTTCTTACATATTCTTACATACCCAAATGGTGAATAGGTCCATCTTTGTTGAATGGCAGACATATATATATATATATACCATTGATAAGATTTTCTTGGATATGATGCAAAGATGACTGATGCCCCAGCTGAATGAAAAAAGTGACGATTACCTCTTTCAACAACACAACTACCACAGAGAGCACTCTAAAGATATTTTGAGAAGAACTCAGTCAGTGTTTTGCACAGAGAAAGAGACTGGTTGTCAGAGTGTTTCAATCTATATTGACAATCAAGATAATAGGAGGCAGAGGAAAAAGAAATGACGTAGCCGCATCAGGTTTAGATTTAATAGTATGAGAATGTTTCTTGTGGGTATTTCTCAAGGATACCGCCTTTGCACCAGGCCTTCATTCCTTGCCGATTTTCGAGTCTTCGCAACGTCTGATGTTATGGTTCTGGTCCATCGAGACAGACTAACAGGCAAGGTCGGATTAAAACTTTTAAAGGTCTAAACATTTAAAAATTTTGGTGCCGCCCATATATGTTTTCGACAGCGTTCCTGTTCTTCCCATTTGTTTTCATTCAGTTGCACCATACATTTCATTTTAAAGTCGACAATGGAAAATTTTTGGAGTCTCCTTTCCTGAACACCTAAGGACCATTTTGTGGTGACCCCTCTCTCTGATGCCCATCTCTTTGGACAACACTGATTATTGTATAAATGCGTACCGTATCAATGCAGATGAATCCACTGAACATAAGAAGTATGACAAAAATTATTCAAGAAATATGCATAAAAAATTAACCACCACACCAACCCCCTCCTCCCCCCAAAAAGGAGGGGGGAGAATCCTTTCATCAATTTGCTTTAGTATAATCAAATCTGATATCAAGTTGCGTGTCTGAGCTGCCATATATTTTAAAAATGTTTCACGGACTTATGCATAACCTTATACCTTAATATCAATACTCACAGGAAATGAAAAGAGGTACTGAGAACAAATTTATAGATTTTGGTGTTAGAAATTGTATTTAAAAATATAGTAAATAAAAATAATTTATTAAGTACGTTAGTGCTGCCATCTAGTGGTGTCCATCAATAATTTAACAATTTGAAAATCAAAATATTCATAGAATACAAGAAATATTAAAAGAAAATACGTAAAACAGACTTCATGTGAAAAGAATAATTTTAGACGTTCTTTATATAGTAACCGTTTGAAAAATGAAGTCACAAATTGTAGAATATGCGCAGAATGCTTAAATTATTGACCAGAAATATAATCTTGGCGCTGGATCAAAATTTCCCTCTTCCTAGGGATGCTATCTTGCTGCAGCTACCTAACACAATTAGGATTAATTAGTCATTCATTTGTCCATATATATATATTAGTGTCAATATGTTGACTGGAGGCGCAGAAACGTAATTACATCTAACGAAGCTGGAAATTTAGAAATCTATTTGTTTAACTGAAATATTATTTAATCAGAAAATATATTCGCCATATAATGACACACGTTTAGTAAAATTTTATCTAATAATTCTGTAGCTGATAATTTAGTTTAAGAAATTAACTCTTTAAATATCGCTCAGTTTTTATGAAATTCAGCATAATATTTCCTATTTTTTAAATTTAAGATATGGAACAATTATTCGAGTTCCTAAATAACACAATTTTAGGATGAAGGTAATTTGAAGCAAAATTTTATGAATGTCTTTATTAAAAAGTTGTTTCCTCATTCATGATAGCTGTGCGCTCATTCAATCAACATCCAGCATTATATTACACTGGTTGACATTCAGTATTATGATGCACTGGTTCTTAATAGTTAAACAGCAAATCGAAGACGGATAACAACCCAAAAATCCAATTAGGCGAAACTTGGTGATAGTATTTACTATATCACTTACAACTTAATAACACAAGATATTATTATACTGATTATTTCCATTTTGGTGTATAAAATTTCCTAAATCCAGACATATAAATTTTCTCAGCAGTGTGTATGATCATCGAGAACAGTAATACAGATCTCACAGCAATATCTCCTGCTATTTATTATGTTGTCAATGAGTTGAATGAATAGCAATGCCCAATGATTACGTAGAGCAGTTAGTTCTAAGCCCATCTAGGGTTTGGAAATGGAGGCCAGCAAAATGTCTCTTAGGAGCGTGTCAGACATGTTTCAAGGGATTAAAATGTAGAAGGGGTGTTGGCCATTTCATATTTAGACTAAACTTTCTTCTTCAAGAAACTGGTGCACGAGGCGATCAGTACGAGGGCGGGCATTACCTGCTTACAGAAGGAAGGTTGGACGAACAATGGGATCTAGTATGTCGTCTCTTACCTCTGAACATTCTGAGTTTCATATGGCAGAACTAATACGTTTGTGCACCCATCTAAAGATACTCCTTCCCACAGAAGAACACTACCTCCTGCATAGGTAACTCTATTCGATATACTAGACGGAAGGTACGGAGTGTTTGCGCCTCTCCATATGTAAAATCGTCGAGAATCAAAAAGCAAAGTGGGACTCATCAACGAACAAAACAAACCTTCCCAATTCAGACGTTTCCCTCTGGTGGCGGGTGGTAAGCCGGTCGACTAGCATACAGACCACTTTCGTGCAAATTTGCATAGTACAAAGAAATTATTTCCACAAGTTGAAGCGAGAAATATTTAAATTTGTACTAATTAAAAATGAAAAATCAATTAGAACAAAGTTTTTAAGAGTAATATGTTAAATGAGAAGTACTGCTATGCAGACTGTCGCGAAAAGGTTTGATTAGTATTTTACATATTGATTACTAAACACAACTTACACGTTCAGTTTTGATATACTATATTACACATTTTCACATTTTCACTTACATATCAAATCTATTACACAGTTTTCACTTACATAGCAAATCTATTATATATTTACACATTTTATGTAATAAAAAATTTTCAAACAGGAAATATTACTCATGGAATCTTATAGAATTCGTACATTAGAAAACAAAGGTAATCTTTAATACTGTCATACAGCCAACTCGTAACATAATTCACATGAATTAAAAATTAAAGATATTTCTGGTCAACGGATTTTTTGTACAACTGTTAAGATTATGATCCTAAAGTAATAAAAAACGTGAATATGATTAATGCATTTTTAGAACTTGAAAAAAATACAAATTAGCTAAAGTAAAAAATAAAGTGATTTTTACAAATTGACTTTTTGAATTTTAAATAACGGTAGCATGAATATTTAAGTCATTTAAAATATTTTTGTGGTTGGGGGTATGTATCTAGACCAAGATTTTCGAAAATAAAGGTTGCACAAGGACTTCTATGGCCATGCTGTATACATACATTTTTCTACAGTGTTACGCCAGAATTTCTGCATCTGAAAGAGGAAAAATCTTCAGGAGCTGTTTTACTAATTTATCTGCATTGGCGAAACTTTCAGAACATCCTCATTTGTATTAGGAGATGGGAGAAGGGGAAACTCTTCCTGTATTGAAAACTCGTATGTAGTGATTTATGATAGCGAATCTCCCCAACAGATTAGTAATAAGGTTTGTTGTTACGCTTGAGGTATTGTTGTGCCCTACAACAGGATAATTCTACTAAACGGGTAGTAGATAATTACGGTACCCAACATTGAAAATGCAACACGAAGAAGGACAGACCTGAAAATTATGCATATTTCAGAGAAGACGGAAGTCACCGAATTAGTTAGTTAGTTCTAAGCACTGGCCCCTAGCCCACCTAGCAGGCGAAACCTGCCATATGGCTATGAGGGGACAGGTCAAGCCACAATCAATCAAGATTTAAATTTATAAAAAGAAGTTTTCAATTCAGCTATCATTTAAAATCATTTACATCATTTTAAAAATTTACTGCAAAATTACAGTTTGATTTCTGAATATACTATTTCTCAGAATTTTCATATTTACCCATTATTTATATTGTTAGTTTTAATAAGCTGTGAGCAACTCAGGTGAACAGATAATGACTGGAAACCCCCGCAGACAATTTCTAATGACAAAATAATTTATTGTCTCATTTCTGAACAAAGTTTCTGCAGTATGTTTTATTTGCATCTATTTTACTTTGATTTATTGCAGCTTTTCTTTCTATTAGCTACATAATTTTAACTCACTATCAAAATGGGTACTATTAAGTTTTGAGGGCCGTAAAAAATCGCCAAACTATTATTGATGCCAGTGCTGCCAAAAATAATCGCAGCAACCCTAACGCAAGACTATTTTGAAAACGCCCGTTTGCGAAAATAGTTCTTACATGAAAATAATGCAATGGAAAAACTATTTTATGGCTACTGTACAACAATTTAGCGACGAACCATGGCAACCGCTTTGATAAAGACACTTATTTTTCTGTATAATGCGAGTTCTATTACGTAGCCTTCAGTTTACAAATGACACTTCAGTTGATTGAAGCAAATGCTGATCACTTTCTACGAAACATTTTATTCATAATTGTGTCTTTATTCCATACTCAAATTATAATAAATTTGTGTTCGAATTGCACTTACTTTTCTCAAAGCACGAATGGCATTCTTATGCTGTTTGGTTAGCACAGCAAGTCTTGGTTCCTCCGTATCTTCATCTATTAAAAAAAGAAACGCAAAAGATATTATCCAGTGAAAACTACCGCATTTTAGGAAGAATAAATAGTGCAGCTACAAAACGATAATTTCATGTATTACATTTCTTTCGCAGAGAATTTTACTTTATAAATAATGAATAGGATTTCAAAGAAACAGATGTGAATTCACACTAGATAGGAAGTTCAAAGCGCCTGATAAAAATGGCAAATAATTATCAAATTAAACAACCGGTAACAAGTGATAGAAGGATATGGTTGGAATTCTAATTGCTTGAGAAAAGTTGAGAAAGTAGACTATTTATTAATAAAATAAAAAAAGGATAATAAATAAGATTGAGTAGGAATTTAAAAATAATGAAGTTTACCACAAAATTGCGTATCATTTGTTTGCTATTATGTTTTATTTGCTTCTGCAACAAAAGCTCAAAACTTAAAAATATGAGCTCCATGTACTATATATGCAATATCCTGTATTTTTATATTAATCATTTAAAATATAAGTGCATTTTTATCTTTAAGTTTATATTTATGATTCATAGAACAGACAAAGCTTTTATTACGATAAAATAACGATGACTTAGTTTTACAGCTTTTATAGATTATTATAAATTGAAAGAGCGGATGTGAAATAACTGCTTGTTGTGTTTTTGAAAATTTACATACATTTATTATTAGTTTAACTTTCGGGGAGATTTCTATTCAGATGAATGAGCTGGTAATTTAAATCTATTGTAATGACATATTATTTAATTGAATTTACAGAAACTAAAAGCAGTTCAATTAAATAAATGTTTATTAATAGATGTTTCGGTTTTCTGCAGATTTCTATTGAGTACCATAAAAAATAAATCTTAGTCTTAATAATATAATTTTAACGATTTATAATATAATTTTAACAATCAACAAGGACGATTTTATGACCGAAAAATTGTTTCATCCTGATATTCTAAATGCTTCGTTGAATACATGAAGGATAAAAATGAATCAAGTGATTGCATTCATTAAAAATTCATTCACCGAAAAATGCATTTTAATTAAAAAATCTGAATTAATAAAGAAGCATGGCAATTTAAGTAATTAAATGAATTGTTTGAAATAGTTAAAATATACTGTTTATTTAAAATACCTTGAATGCATTTTTGGCAAGTAGACTTCTTAGATCATTAAATATATTTTCAGCTTAATTTGTTACAAATCTCATATTATTCTAATATTTTAAACTAGTTAACAGTATTTAAAAGAATGCAGTAATAAATCAGAATTTAGTACGAGAGATTACATTAACAAAGAGCTCCCAGTGGAACCTATTCGTAACTTAGGCAGTGGAGTTTAAATTTTAGAATAAAGATCTAAGAAAGTTAAGAAATTAGAAAATTGCATTTGATTTAAAAATTAATTTGATTTGATAAAATATTTCATTTCGTTTTAAACTTAACACTGATAATTGATAATTATTTTATCAGGAAGTGACTAACTTGTTATAATACGGCCACAAATAATTTAAATTAATTAAAATAGAGCAAACCTCCTGCTCCAAGAGAAAATTCGACTAAACGTACTTGTTACACACACATATAAAAAGTAATTAGGAATAAATTCTTTCAAGATCAAATCAAACATTTCTTTTTTCAAACCAAATTCTCAGCGGAATTTATTATGAACAAATCTTTATACACTCAAAAATAAATTACGGCAAATTAAATCTTTATGTGTATTTAAAATCTTGATTTATTATGGATTTACTTAAGCATTTTTATAATAAATTATTGAAGTAAATATTTCATGCGTCATAACGGTAAAGATACTTTTTAAACCTCTGAATGAATAATATTTAAGATAACTTTTATCTTTTAATCTTATGAAATACTTAATATCTGGAAGAAAATACTGTTATTTATATATCTTGAAGAGGTTATACATACAGCTACAGCGATTAAAAAAGGAGGAAACGAAAAGGGGGAAAACACTAGAACTCTACAATACACAGTAACACTAGCAAATAAACATATTTACAAGTATATTACAAAGTTTCAAAGCCATAATGTATACTATATTTTTAAAGAACATACATGTAAATTACACGTTTCATATGTAAAAATTTCTTAGAAGAAGCAATTCATGCACAGTTTGTTCAAAACAAAGTTTTTTTTGGGGGGAGGGAGGAATATACATATATGTTATGCAAGGAACGTTCACTATTTTATTGCATACCATTCATAATAATCATAATTCAAACCGTTGTTCCATAGAAACATAACATACAAAAGTAATTATGCATGAAGAATTAAAGTTAAGAAAATTCATTAAAATATCATGCGGAATGTCAATTGGGTAGCCTAAGGTTAGGGTATATATGCAAGATAAAATAATGATATGAAAGCATAAAACTTGTCTGAAGTTATTTTCAGAAGGTTCATGCTATCAAAAGACATCTACATGCATTTGAAGAAAATCAAGTCTGGGTATTTCTTAAATAAAAGTGACAATAATCTAATATAAAGATCAAAGACTGATTGAGATGCTGGTTGAAAAATGTTGTCTCTTGAGAATGCAATCGAACTAAAAAGGTACTATTTTTAAGTACTTAATCTATTCTTGGTCAGAAAAAAAGAATGGAAATCATAGCTTCTGGGCTGATTTGCGATAAGACTTTGGTTTATGCATTGAGATATATATTTACATTTTTATAATTTACATACATACCGTTCTTTGGATGGAATCTCTTCATACATTAGGACATAGAAAAGTTGCCAAAGCTAAATCAACAATTACGGGGAAAGAAGTTTGCCAATCTTAGAAGAGAAGTTTTAAGGCGTTCCTTTCGAATCGCATTCTTTTATTTGGCCTTTGCTGTTTGCAGTTGCTTTCAATATGACACTTTTCTAGAATTGCAAAGAGCTAAGACAATATAACAGGCTGATATGTATATAGCGAATGCATAGAAAAAAAGCATCGAGAACATGGAAACTTCTTTAAGGTTTTTTTATTTTCTGTGGAAAGTATTAAATAGCTGATGAACGAAGCGTCTGATATATCTTGAATGTTCTGAAACACGAGCTAGTAAAAATAAAATATCCTTTTAAAATATTTATAATACCAATAATTAAAATATTCTTGCTTCATTTTTAGATCCGACTTCTAATTGATCCGTACACTGTAACAAGAATCTTGTAATTTTCCCGATAAGATTTACTGGTTATAACGAGAAGATGACTGCACCGTTAAGATATGTTACAGCACGAAAAATATCGATGTAAATGATGAGCAGATGATAAAACATTTACAGATTAAATGAAAAATTAAAAATGGGGGAATATCATAACATAATTAAAAAGTATTTATAGAAACTCAGTTAGAAAAAAGGGTCAACGCAATTTATCACGTAAGAAAAACAGGTATAGCTGAAACGGAATTGAAACAATAGTAAAAGAATGATGAAGTCGTAAGGGTTAACTACTTTTAAAAGCTCAGCATACTTATTTAATATGATTGTCTTGCTCTTTGCTTGTAGTACCCCTTTACTATTATGATCATGCTTCGCAACTAAAGATACGTCAATGTAAAGCTCTCAAAAGCTAAGTCAACGTAAAGCTATTAAAAGTTGCATATCAGCTCAGAAGATGCGATTTCTAATGATGATTTTTCTTAATTTTAGTCACGAACGGAATGTAAACTTCATACACATTTTTTGCACAGCCTTCTGAGCTAAGCCTAAAAATATCTATACTAGAAAATAAGAAGCAAGCGCTCTAGGTATTCAAGCGCCAGTCTACCAAGTTTTAGCCATGCAACTACAAAATACATTTGTGCGCTAGTGTAGAATTCCAGGGCATTCCCGTCATCTAGAACGGGTTAATGAAGCTAGAACGGGTTAACGATCCACTCCCTGCGTACAAGGTGCCGTGAGAGATAGAGAGAGAAATAAGAGTGCGCATATTTCAGAGAGCTTCACGCGGAATCGTCTTACCGCAGGAGGAAGGGCTGTCCTTTCGGACCCTGCTGAACAGATTAACGCAGAAGCTTCCACGTCTTGAGCCTGCGCTTGGAAAAACAGATACCTATTAAAACTCGGTCTGAACAAGGCCATTTGGCCTCCAAACACCGATTCACTATTACTATTAATATTGTAATTATAAAATGGAATTCTAGAAAGAGTTCTTTGGAACAATAATTCCAAAATAGGAAATCAGAGCATAAATCTTAATCTTAATTATTTTCGATATTAAGATAGAGATGAATGACTTTATATTCAGACTATTAACCTAACATCGTGATAAATAATGGAAAAATTTGGATTCCGCTAGTTTAAAAGGGAAAGGAAATGGAAGGATTTAATAAACTGTTATAGTTCCGAAAACTATGAACATTTCTGAACATTTTTAAATAAGTTGGCATAAAGACTTTTAAAAATGACCAACAAACATTGCTTAGAAGTTTGATTGCACCTAAGACATTTAATGCTCCTAAAACATTTGGGGAGAAAATAATCTTCAGGCATACAAGCTTAACTCAATAGTTGTAACTGCGTTTGGGCATTTGGATAAGTATTTACAAAACTTCAGTTTCATTAAAAAATCGCGCAATTAACTGTGGAAAATTTGCAAACGATATGGCGCAATGATTCTCAAAAGCGATTCGAAGGGCTGCTGGGGTGTAATTAATAATTAGCGTTCCACAAGTGGTTTCCGAACTACAATTTCATTTCAAATTTAAATTTACTATAAAAAGTATAATCAAAGTAACATGTATGTTAATGACAGAGATTTCGGCAAAATGCAAACCCATATGAAAGGGCACCCCTTTTGCATAGTTTGCACTGAACTAATTACTCTGAATATGGTGCTGCCATCTGTTGGTAACATTTCGAGTTTAAAAATCAGTTATTCTTGCAACGTACGGTGGAACCTCGTATCACGAGTAAATCGGCTCACGAACAAATTTCCTGAACAAAAAACGTGTCACGAACAAGGGAAATTGGAAACAAATGAAATGTTTGGAATGAAATGAAACAGATAAAAGTGTTTAAAGGTAATGTCTGACACAGAATTAACATTCAAAGGATTCTAAAAATATCATTTTAATATTCTCCATTGCTTAACTCTCACTGACATAGCTCAATATCAAATGACTTACAAGACCACTAAATCTATATTGAGGAAGTTACGGTCAGATTGCATTGAAGACTGAGATTTTAAGGGCTTGGACACTGCTTGACAAAACTGTGGACTGAATGTTAACAATGAGTACATGGATGAGATACTAGAAAATGAGCTCAGTTTAAAACAGAAATCTTTAAAAACAGCAACGAAAGGTCATCATAGAAGAATCTCCTCCAGAGGAAGAACGAAGAAAATAAATGATTTTAGACCTTTGTTCCGTGGAATTTGAGCAAAATGGGGCAAATTTTATGCAGCGACAGCATCTCGATATAATACACTGCTAGCCATTAAAATTGCAAAACCATGAAGGAAAACAAATACGAAAAAGATATTTATTGCATGTAAACGGCATGGCATGAAAACATAATGATTAAATTTGTAAGCATTTTGGAGGTTTAAAGGGATGCAAAATTAGCAGAAACAGCTGCCATCCCTGGCAGCTAAAACGGCCCTTGCCCCATTAAGCATGAGTCAAACTGGGCTTGGATAACAGAAATGAGCAACTCATTCCATGCTGCTTTAAGTCTATGCCACACTTCATCAACAGTATTAACTGGAAAGGGGTGGCGAGCCAATCTCTCAGCAACCCAAGACCAGACGTTTTCAATGGGTGACAGATATGGAGACACAATTTAAAATTACACAATTGAACTCCAAGTCAATCGAATATCCTGTTTATCAAGGAAGGTCCGAACACTACGTGCAACATGCGGTCTTGCATTATCTTGATGGAACATAGCGTTTTAAGCCCTCGAAGATAGGGCATAACTACTGGACGTAAGATGTTAGAAATGTACCCATCTGCGTTCAAATTATCGTCGATTCGAACTAGAGACGTGCGTGTCGTACACCCAGTGACTTCCCAAAGCATCACACAAGGTGCAAGGCTCTTATGCCGATATCAAATCAAGCAGGCGACATGCGGCCTACTCGGATACTCCAGACAGTATACGGCCATCAAAATACTGCACGTAGAACTGGGACTCGTTTGTAAAGGCGACATTGTGCCACTCCTGCACCCAGCTTTGTCGTTTGGGGCACCAGAGTCGCCGTCTTTCTCTATGCTGCATTGTAAAGGGAAGCGGAAGTAATTGTCACCCGGATGATAGTCCATGATGCTGTAAACATCGACACACCTTACGAGCTGATACTGGGCGTGCTGTGAACATGCCCATTTCCAGACTAACTGTCCGGGATGTGGTAGTAAGGTTTTGCAGGGCTGACCTCACAATATGTCTGCCCTCTCTGGCGTTAGTCATGGGAGGGCGTAGAGATCCTGCATGCCGTTCAGTATGACTCTCAGCAATCCATTCATTCCCTATTCGCATTGACAGTGGTTGGATGTCGACCATTGCGACCGGCGATATCACGGAACGTTAATCTATACTTTCGATCGGAGCAAATTCAAACTCTATGAAGCACTTTTCGAATGAGAAATCCACTACAAAACTTTTCTTTTATGCAGATCTTCAGATGTCGTTTCCCCGTGCTGCGTCGTCTAAATGCACTGAAATACTCATCATTTGCATATCCCAACTTCTTCCTTTCATGTGATTTTGACATTCGTCAGGTCATTCTTTCCTGGTGATGCCACGACTCTTTAAAAACATTATAAACCATAGATAAAAAAAAGGCTACATTGCATTTATTTTAGAGAGAAACTGTCCCAGCAAGTCTCGAGTGCGGATATCCATAAGACACAAAGGGAAAAAAATGAAAGATATCCTAGAAAGACGCATGTTTTTATGAAAGAATAGTTTTTATCCAAACAAATAACATTTGTAAGGTTATACTTGTCTAGTACTGCTACTGTAATCCTATAATCATAACAGACTACCGAGGTATCGCTATATCCGAGACAGAAAGTCTTAGGAAGGTTATAAAACAACCATTTATTTAAGCTTTGAAATTTGCCGCGACTTTGTGCTACAAATAACCACAGCTCGTGCCAATGCAATTTAAATAAGAACAGTCAATTCAAATCAACCCCTAACCAGTAGTTGAAGACTACTAATCAAACGCTGACCAGCAGTTTTTAAGACTATGGAATTAAATACTAAGCTATAAGCTGGCTCAATAAATTACCGACTCGTCAGTTTAAATTAGTTTTCGTCCATTTTATCTGCTTAGTACTGTGTTTATCTTTTCCCCATTTTCCTTCGATTTAATGATTTCTATTAGTTCTGTGTTATGAACTCATGCAAAAAATTTCTGTTGTAAAAGTTTAACCAAGATATCATCTGCGATCAAAGAGTGGATTAATCTCCATGTCTATCTGGATGATTTATCAACATTTCGAATGAAAAACAGGTTTCCGGAATGAATTACATTCGTGAATCGAGGTTTCACTGTGTTTAAGAATACTGCCTTTGATTAACAATCGCAGAAACCTTCTTAAACTATTCTTGTTATGAATTTTAAGAAAAAACATGATCATCTATGATTCTTAAGAATCATTGGGAAACATTGAAAACTCGAACATATTAACGTCCTGAGAATAAAATTGTATATGTAAATACTGCTGATTATGGAAATATTACTATTCTATTAATATTTTTATTTTTTGATATATAATCTAATCACCAGAAGTAAAATTTAATTATTAGAGTGGTCAAATAATTCTACTGCAAGATAAAAATTTCTTTTACTGTAAGATAAAATTTCTTCACAATCTCGTGCTTTTGAATTTAGCTCGATGTCAGTATACCATAATATCAAAATAGCGAAATAAAAATTTTGCTTTCTTTCCAACGTGCTGCACGTGAATTAACATTTCCTGCAGTGAAAGTAATAATTTTTCTTAAATTTGCGTTGTTTTAAATTAAAAATTTGAGTATAGTAATGTTCAGATTAATTCGCTTTCATGCTCTATTAGACACTACACTATTCTTATGACATGTTTTAATCAGGAATCTTGAGATATTTTTAAAATTACACAATTGAACTTCTGGAAAATTATCTAATGTTTAATTAGCAACAGACTTAAAATTAGATCAAAATTGTAGCATCAGATATTTAGAAAGAATTAATTCTTAAATATTTTGATGCTAATTTCACAGATGTAAGATAAATAAGTTTTACTAATATAACCTTTCAAAATTCCTTTTGTCAGATTAGTCTTTGTAATGTTACGTAATTATGAAAATTTTAATTATTGTATTTGTTTGATGAATTTCAAACCAGAAAAAGTGAAACTTTCATTACATTCTGTTAATGGTCTTAATTTTTTTAATGGTCAGGCGCTTTTAACCATTAGCTTTGCGCCACTACAAGTGGCAGGAAGTGGTAGTTATTTCATTATGGAAGAACCTAATAGGTGACGAATACGAAGGGTCGTTGCCTCCTATGAAGGATCGAACAGTTACAACCATGTCTTCTATGGGATTCGAACCCGGGCTCATGGCTGCGGAAGTTAAGATCACTAACTAACCACTATACCGGCTGATCTTAGATAACTGAAATTTAACACGAGGTAATATACTATGTCTTTGTTTCTGCTTATTTACACTGGTAATTATAAGCACACTATTAATAATAAGCACGATATTGTATGTACAGTAAATTCATTATTAAAGCAAAATATCAAAATATACTTTTCGCAATAAATACTAGTTACAGATTTATTTAAAATATTTTATAAAAATTTGGTTTTAATAATAAACAAATAAATCCTCAAATGCACTTTGGGGCATTAATTAAATAATTCGAAGTTAAATTTAGTTCCATCATTTTACTAAAATAAAATAACAGAGGAATGACTTTATTAAGTTATTGAAATAACTGACATTTAAAAGAATTTTCGATTTTGTTTATTTTTTCATAGTCCTTTTCTTCATCACATTCTTTCTTAAGCGTGTAATTAATTACTAATAACAGACTATAACAGTTATATAAAATTCTAATTCCAGTGTAAGTAATTCAGATATACAGGAAGTTTTTCAAGCTTGCACTATAAGAAATAACTGATATAAGAAATTTCTGCACTCAAAATGCGAGGGGTCTACAAATTCAAAGTATCAGATCAGTCAAATATCTTTACTAACGTATGGCCGAATCCAAAAATTTCAGCATCATGACTCCGAAAATTATTCCTTTCACTAAAAGCTTTAGATTGAAAACAATTTTTTTATTGTTCCACTATCATCAAAACAAATTTTTTACGTTCAGAACATGAAACAGTGAATAGCACATAATTCTTACTTACGAAGTAGTAGGTGAAACATCGGGGGCCGATACTTCATGAAATCTGTTTTTACATATGGTGGCTATACTGTCTGGCCAAAAGTGTGTCGGCATCCCTCTGGAGAAGCGGATATTGTTATAATCGCGATGTGAAACGTCTTAAAATGGGATAAAAGTGTTGGTAGTGATACTGGAAGGTCATAAATATGCCCTTAGACGAATAATCACCAAGTGAATAGACTGAATTGTTTCGAATGAGGCATGACCTTTGAGTGCCATCCGTTGCAGCAAAGCGTTTGGTGAAATATAATCATTACTACAGATACCTAAATTAAGTGTCAGTGAAAGTATTATAAAATATAAACCTTTGAGATTGAAAATGCAGGAAAATAAGTTAATAGGTTGCATAAAGTTTATGACTGTGCTGCCAGCTTCTGAAGAAAGTAGTGAAGGAAAATCGTATATACCCAACCGCCACAATTTCTCATCAATTTGAAAGAATTTCTGATGTCGCTGCACCCGGTCTCATAAGATTATATTATGATAAGTATGGTCAAGGTCAGGAAAAAGATTTCACACTGTTGGATGTGATGAATTTGTTTTTACACATTCTGGCAGTGTGATAGATATGTCTACTTTTGTAAGTGCCTAGAACAAATCTTCAGCAGATCCTTGAAAATGTAGAGAATTTGGAATCGAAACTCACAATCTTTTACTACATATTAACACAGAACTTCTCATAAAAGCTATATATGAATTGAAAATTATAGAAAACCTTGCTGCATGCATCTGTAGCATTGACTCTCAAAGACACCATAATTCAAATATGTATACAGGGTGATTACAGAGAACAGCTTGAGGTAAAAAATGGAGTGCGACAGGGGGATGCATTAGCATGCTCAATATAGTACTCGAAAAAGTTATTAGAGATTCAAAGATCAATATCAGAGGAAATATTTTTACTCAGTTCAAGTACTGGCTTATGCTGATGACATTGGCATTATTGCCCGAACCGCTCGGCTCTCAAACAGGCATTTATAGCATTGTAACAAAATGCTAAAGGAATTAATTTAACTGTGAATGAAAATAAATCTAAATATTTATCTTGATTAAAGTCTAACTTACGACTTAGTCACTTGGAAATTGACAATTATAAATTTGAAAAAGTTAACAGTTTTATTTATTTGGGAACGGAGATAAATAATAAAAATGTATTGGCCCCAGAAATACGTAAAAGAATCATTGTTGAAAATAGATGCTTTTATGTCCTGAAGAGTTATTTAAAATCCAGCTTTCTTAAATTAAGAACTAAATTGTTTCTTTTTAAAAGTCTTATAAAATCTGTCTTGAAGTATGCATCAAAGACTTAAGCATTGACTTTACGTGATGAGGAAAGTCTGGGAATATTTGAGCGAAAGACCGTATGTTGCATTCTTGGTGGGGGTTCAAGTGAATTATGGAAAAGATCTAATTTAGAACTCCATAAAAGTTATAAACAACCTGATATTTTAAAATTCGCCAAATTACAAAGACTTAAAGGGGCTGGCCATTTGGCCAGAATGAATGAAGATCGTTGCTACAAGAAAATCTTTCTGGCAAAGCCCATGGGAAATAGACCTCTGGACAGAGACCCGCTAAGATGGATTGAACGTGTCGAAAAACTTCTTAATATTTTAAACGTTAAAAACTGGAAAACAGTTGCCAAAAGTAGATATGCCTGGAGAAGGCCAGGGTCCACTCAGGGCTGTCCAGTTATTGAAGAACTCTTCATATCCGAGTGCACTATGCCAACTGTTAAGAGGCATCAAAGTGGTGAAGGTATCAAAGTTTTGAGGTTGTTTCTTGTTGTCCGGCCTGGGTCTCTTAGTTCCTACGGTCAGAACGATGATTGTTGAGATGTGTCTTGATATCATTGACAACTCTACAGTTCCAACACTCTAAAACAGTTTAGAAAAGGCTGTTTTTATATCAACAGGATAACTATTCGGTCCACACTGTGAAGAGTATGTTTCCATGGTTTGAACTGTGGATGTTAAAAATATGGATTGGCTTTCGTACAGTCTCTATCTCAATACCACGGGAAACCTTTAGGAAAAGCTGTAATGCAGATTAAATGCATTTCTAAACCGCCTATTTTCAATCACCAGACTAGACTCACTGCAGTTTTTATGGGCGAATGGAAGGCAATTTAAGTGAACAAAAAACAAAATCTGATGGAAAGTCTTCCAAGAGAAGTACAGGCTATGACTTATTTAAAAGGTGGATCTATTAATGTGTGCCAGATGTCTCTCTAATTCTGTAACATGTCCGGATATTTTTTGCTATGTAGTATAGGTTAAAACATATCGATTTCCTGCGGCCCTTGTAAGCTCTGTAAAGCTGATATGGTTGCGACGTAGTTGATGTAGATAAATTTGAGCTGCCTTTATTTAAGACAGCATAAAATTGTATAGATCATAAAACATCTTAAGTAAGTAATAAAAACTGTGTGTTGCATTAAGTAAAATTATTTTATTTTATATGTAAATATTTAAATATATATCGGTTTTAATTCCTCATTTCTTACCTTAACAATAAAATGTGTTATAATTCATATTTATCTCAATTTTTGTGTGCTTCAGTATAACAAAGTTTCAAAATTTCTCTTTAAAATTAAAAGAAAACTAATAAAAAATATAGGTAATTTTTAAAACATCTGAATGAGCTTAAATGTTATAACTCAAAACGCAACATAGACTTATTAGTACCCTTCAGAATATTGTATATCGCGGTGTATATAAAAGTTTGCAATGTTTGAGTGTAGAAAAATGATTCTATTTTTTCCTACGATGCACAATTATTACGACAGGGATTTTATGAAGGTCTTTTATTACAATTATTTAATCACCAAAAATGAAAATTAACCATTAAAGAACAAATCGAATCATTATACAAACTAAATTTTAATTGCATTATTTAGCTGCATCTGTAATGCTCCAAATTCTTTTAAAAAATAAGTTCAGGAAAAATGTTACTGAAATAGTGCTAGCATGATTCTGCACATTCACAGCGAGAAAATTTAACAGCTGCAACAAATTTGAATGTTTGATAAGTATGCCATGAAAAAACTGCCTACTGTTGATGTTTTGATAAAATGAATCCAATTTGAGTATTATTTTGATATTACATTTATTAAACAGGGCAACATAGAAGTCATATTTCCTTTGAGAAAGAAAAATTACATAATAAGGCTCGCATATGATAAACACAGAATAAATGCGAAGCTGAAATTATAAAACTAAAATTTTGCATTGATGAAAATGTATTGAAAGGGTGAAATAGAAAGGCAAGAACAAGAACTATGATAAGGAAAATTTATTTTTAAAACTTTTTTGTATATAACATCGCTGTAGGTACAAATGGTAGTATTAGTTTTTAACTGGGAAAAATACGTATTTTTATGCTAATATCACGTATTCTTTCTTCATCATAACTAAATTAAAAATATTATCAGATTTTAAAATCTGACAATATTTCTGGATGGGATCTTTGCAGTTTCTATTTTCATTTTACTTGTTGTATTTACAGCTGTTGTAAACAGCACACAAAACTTATAGGGCCCACAGTAAATTCTTTCTGAGAATCCCATAAATGAATTTTTATTTTCATACTGCTATCTGGAATGTAGCTTTTCTTTTCGAAATTTGTAGACCCCTGCTAAATGACTTTTTTAAGTGAAAGAGCTTTCTGTTTTGTGCAAGCAAGTTAATTTGTAGAAAGTGTGCAATTGAGTGAGTAGTGCTGAGTTGTTTTTTTACCGCCAACCTGGAGATGTTTGTTCGGAGGACAGAAAGGCTGGCGACAGCGCCACATACGGCGGGCAGCTGAATTCTTTCTGCAGCATGTTGCACAGGCCTTTGGGCGTGGTCGGGGCATCACTGCAGTCCACAATGCATTCTGGGAGGTACACACAGCAGGTGTATTGAAGAGAATGGGAAAACAATACATACAAAAACACAAATGGGAACTCGAATCATAACTACGAACAACAGCTATCATGCTGTTAAGCACAACTACGCCATAAATATAAATATAATTTTTAAAAATACATTTGAATAAATATAGGCAACAAACATGCAAAATTAACGTCTATAAATAAGCATATAATTTCTTCAATATTGCCTGAAATGAAAACAAAATATATAAGAACAACACTCATAAAATTAGAAAACACGCTCATTATGATAAAAATTTTTTATCCTTTATTACACTAGTTTTGCGCAACAAACATTTAATCTTTTAGAAAGACACACATTTTCAGGAATATCTTGTATTTAGTATTCTGAAAAGTTGACCAATATTTTGCTTTAGAAACATTCTTAGAGTGTTATCATACTTAGTAAATTTAGGAAAAAAGTGTAGAATATTGAAATCATTAAGTAAACGTTCTGAATAAAGACAAAATATTTGTAACTTCAGATTTACATGAAAGAAATTTGAGGTACCGTGTTTGTCGGCTATTTCAATTTCCAAAAGCATTTTCTGAAATCAAATACATACTGAGGCAATTTTAAGTAAAGTAATTAAAGTACTGGAATTTTCATGCAGTTGAGACATTTGTTATGCAACTTTTGCATAAAATAACAACTTCCCGGTTTGATCGAAATTCAACACTATCCAGTTCAAACAGGTTTAAGCTATTTACCCAGTTTAAGTCTGTTTCAAATGATTAAATTGGTAAAATAGTCACACTCTGCTATTTGCACAGCGTATTTTACGTACGTTATTATACGTAAATTTGAAAAAAAAAAAAAAATCCTCTTACGCGCAGGAAAATTGTAGACAAAGTGTAACTGAAAGCAAAATATGAATAATACTGAGATTTTTAATAAATTTACTTATTTGCTTTTTAAACGGCATAAAATCCTCCAAATTTTAATTTTAGATTCCTAATCTGCCAGGTTTTTAATGGTTGAACTAACTCCTTCTTATAATTTTATGTATTACTGAAGACTACATGAAAAATACAAAAGCTTTTACTATGCCTAATTACTCCAACATTTTACTTCAAAAACAGAAATGTTTGACTTTATTACAAATTTTGTAAAAAGTTTTGCCTGTATGCTTTTCAATGTTAATTTGCTAATACTACTATCGAATCAAAGCTTACTGCATTTGAAAGAATTACTACGCTAGGTAAATGTATTATAAATTATCTTCGCTAAGTCAGCCATCATTCTGAAACTTCCTTACGCATTTACATTAGGAGTCTAAAGTTTTCAAGACTTTTACTCGGGGTTTACCATACTGGAAATTCAATATTTTCAACCAGATGCGAAAATTATGATACTATGAAAAATATCAAAAATTTACAAAAACTGGTTTTTAGAAACTATATGTATGATTCGTTCTCAAAATTACATAACCAGTTAAATTCAATAACATCAAACTGATAAATATTATTTTCATATTCTTCATCGGAAACCAAATAAAAAGATGCATTTATGTTATACTATCAACGGCAAATATATTTTAACTTGCTGAATTACATTTTCATTTACTTAAGAAAAGGAGGTGGAATACTCTCATTATGTCAATACTGTCTTTCGCCCGTATTAAACGCTGTTAGTCTTTCAGAGCCTGTACCAAGATATATTTCTCCCGGTAATGGATTGGACGGAAAAAAAGCTCACATCTTATCTTAATAGATTTCTTTCTTTGGAATCAGATAAAAAGATCTTCGGAGCAAATATTTTCAGAATCTTATCCCATCTGAAGTTAAGTATCAATTCATAAACTGCCAACACTTAATCTAAACATTCTTGCTCGAGTGAGATCCCATGAAAAAATTATTTCCAGTTTTTTTAATGACGTACATACAAACAGAAACCAATGCTTTTCAGAACCAAAGTTAATTAATATCTGAAATACCAATACATTATTCCACAAAGATAACTTAGAAGACAAAGAAAGACAAAGTCTTCTCCAGAGTTTTGGTGGTAACGAAAAGTGGGTAGGAGAAATGTGGATCTGTGTCTCGGGTGTTCATCAAAATTGGAACTTTCCCCTTCTCGTCTGTGTAAAACCAGTTGTTTTCTGAGGTGCGCTGTGGGAAACGTTATCGTTGATAAGGATGGCCAAATGAACGATGCGTTCAGTCTTTTCCCACGAATGTTTACCTAGCAAAAAGCAGGGCCATTGGGTAAAAACAAAGAAAATTGCAACTTCCAAGATATGTGGAAAGGAAGAAGCTATGCAAAATATGAATTTTCTTGAATTTTCTATCAGTCATAGGTTTTGAAAGCGTGATAAAAAAGGAAAATTATTGTGATAAAAATTAGCCTATTCAGCTTATTTTTTGGGAATTTCTGAAGGACCAGGATTTTTTCTTTACCGCTTTTATGGTCCAAATGAAGCCTAAGGAGTTAAATGGTTTCGAGAATCTGTTCATGACGTTTCCATCATATGATGTGTAAACTAGAAGTTTAATTTAGCTCACAAACAGCCAGTTGGAAAGGAAAGGTGAGTGATCAATTGAGACTGGAGAACCTAACGAACTTTACGACGCATAGATTCATACATCCGCAAAAGTGAGCTCACAGTTTCACGCTAGCGACGTGCAACAGATAAAATTAGTGACTTTATTTCTCAGAAGTGGACGAATAGTACAACATGTTTCGTATATAACATTTAGATTCTGCTCCAGAAATGATGATCACTGAGTGAAAATACGGAGTATAGAATCATGGTTTGGGATACCACTAGCAATAAGAACTGCACTATGTGCTACTTGTATTTGTTTATGAGATGGTGAAGTTCACTGTTATACCATATCTTCTGGAAAACTATATTATCATTAGAGTAAGAGCAGACTACATGCAAGGTATCTAGATGGTTCCTTGCCCAGCAAAATCCATAAGTCTTTTGCTAATCGAGAATCTGAGGGAGACTATTGGTCACTGAATGAATGCTCCAACGTTCTTGCAATGAGAACGAACTTGAAATTTTGGTCAATACTATACGATTTACACTTCCACAAGGTAGAATTTAAGACATATTTAAATTAATGTCATATGTAGTTAACTAGTGTATTACTCGAATTAGTGTCCGCATGTCTTATTTAGAACATTACATATTCAGTCACACATGCGGTTAAACCTAATTAGTTATTAGATTGCGCCTCTTCAATCTTCCTGTGTATTAGATGAATTTGCATGTCCACATGTATTATAAATTTAAACTCCAAGAACACAGAAAGAGTTAAGAACTTTAATACCTATTGAGACCTAAGTCTTATAATTTAACAAAAATCAGTCACCACCACTTGCAGGATCTTATGAATTTAAATATTTTTCTGCTTGCAACAGAAAAATGATGCCCTTAAAAAGCTCCAAGACATCATCCCGGATATGGAACTCTGGTGCAGTACTGGAAAATTCAGATTAATGCTCAGAAATCCCAGCTTTTACTTGCAACCGAAGAAGCACTTACTTCTCTTTAATGAGACGGTGCCTGTGGCAAACGATGCCAAATATCTAGGAGTTATCTTAAATGGAAACCTCACCTGGAAACACCATATTGAACATGTCAAGAATAAAGCCACTAAAGTGATGAGAGGCCTCTTTACCTATACTTGGGAAATATTCCAACCTAAACTTGTATAAAAACGACTTATCTACATTTCTGTCATACGGCCTATCACAAGTGATGCCTTTCCTGCCTGGGCTGCAGCGACTGATAAGGATATTCATAAATTTCAAGTAGTGCAGAGCCGTTTCTTACGAACTATTACAAGTGCCCACTAATTTGTGCGGAATGATTTACTTCACAAGGATCTTAAAATCGACACTATGGATAAATTTCTCAGGACTACAAATAAACATTCTTCCAATGTGCTTACACCTGTGAAATAATGAATCACTTCGGGCTGTTCCATTATGATATCCTTACTGAAGATAAATACTTACGTCCCTTTGCTGCTATTCTTCTAAACAAAAATGCAGATTTTCATACTTAATGAATATTTTAAATTGTTTTTAAGACTACGTCTGATGGATTGCTTATATCAAGCAGCAACTCTCAGAGCTTCGACTTCGGAGGGTGACCGCCCCATCTGACATCCATATTTGTATATTGCACGCTTGTGGATTTATTACTGGGCTCTGTGCACTGTATATATGTATATATTCATTATTTTCAGTTCTTCATGTGTTCTGTACTTGCATTATGAATTGTACTTTATTTAATATTATATAGTCAACAGTTATTGAAACACTTTGATTCTTCATGCAGCGCAAATCTGACCACCCAGTTAGGAAGGGCGTCTACACCACGTGACTTTAAAATCGAATTCTGAGGACTTGGTAAATATCTACTGCATTTAGAATATTTATTTTATTTATATTTACTATCAAAACATGATTCTGCACCTTTGTTTACTAATGTATGCTATTCTGTACTCGTGCAATTTTGTAAATTTCATCTTTTATTCTGGAATCTACACAGATAATAGGAAGTCTCATCTTGCTCATATGACTTTGGCCACTCTCTTTCCTCACCTACAAGCTGCTCAGAGATCAATCTACATCAAATGTTCATCGAAGCGCAATACATAAAGACAGCCGGGAAACAGCTTGCATAATGCAAACTAATCGCGGCATATAGTAATAGTTGGAGTTGGAGAAAAATTATTTCCAACACTTCACTAACACAGATATAGCTAACACGACTTCCTTCCCGGTGAGCAAACAGATACAAAATCACTCACCAAAACGCAGGTAACTTTGCTATTAACCATGTTTTAGCTGTAAACATATTTTAACTTTAACTATGTTTATTTTAAAAATTACTTATTTTTCTATTGTTTATACTGAATATTATTCTTTTCTTAAATTACAGATGCAGTACTTCAGACTCAAATGTAGGGAATTCCGGATATTTGCTTTAATAAATTTTTAAGTTGAATAAAAGAGCGTGTTTATTTGTGCGTTTGGGTATTTAAATGCAATCTTAGATAGGATGTTCGTCACAGTCACTCCATGGCGTAATACTTAAAACTATCTGTTTTTTTTTAAATATAAATATGGAGCATTCTGAAGTCTGTAGCAATTTCCTATAATTAATTATATTTCATGAATAATTAGTTAATTAAATTGACAAGCAGACCAGTAACTAACAAAAGTACTTCAAATTGATCTACTTTATTATTTAGAAAATACTTCGTAAAAATGAAGTTATTTAAACAAAAATCTGAATAATTTTACTGACCACAAAACACCTGTTCGTAATGAAGGTAGAGATTTGCTGAAGAATTTTCTGCACGGCGAGCAGCAAGACTGTATAACTTTAAAAATATGCTTCTACTAAGTTCAGATATTGCGCATTAAAAGCAATAACATTTTACACTTCATCTCGATACTCCAATAAAAAATCTTATATATAAAGCAGCAGTGGGTGTAGCATGGTAGTAGGAAATAAAAACTCGTACTGTGTATTTTTGAATGATTTGGTCTTCATTACTTAGGGCGTACATTATCTATACACAATACTTATATTTATCTAGACATACAGAGATATTTTTTTAAAAATAAATTGAATAAATAGTGCTGCACAAGAATTATTTTTTTTTCCAGCAGAAAATAGTTCTATACCGCTTGCATATACCTTATTTTAATTTAAAGTCATACAGAACTAAAATCGATGTAATCAAATCGAACTAAAAATACACAACTAAAAAAAATACGAAAATAAATTACGAACTTTAAATATTAAAATCGAACTAAAACTACAGAAATAAAATCGATGAAATCAAAAATATAATACTATTTATTATCTATCATAATATAATACTACATATTATCTGTCATTTCACGTTAAACAAAGTAATTTTTTATAATGTGAATAACTAATAAAATTAATCGGACATATAGCTAGACTAAATGATTGCTAAGAAATGTTTTAATTAATATTTATTTAACCAATTATTATCTTCGTTTCATACATATAAGTTAAACTGAAAGAGAGAAAAAATTTAATTTTTAATCATATGATACTAAAATTTTACTAACTTATATGTATATGAAAAACTTACAGACTACCAGTCTAATCAAGCTGATAATTTCTTGTCATTGCCGAACACGAAAAGAATATTAGTATTAATAATAATTATTAGTAAATTCATATTGAAAGGCATCTCAGATGCTTTATTTAATTAATTAAAGATATTTTAATTATTAGCAAACTATTTAGAACATTAATGAAAAAATAGTTTAAAACACAGATCACGGAAAATAATGGTAAAATAATTGATGGGGATGAGGAACAGAATCATTTAAGAAGATGATTTGCAAGTCAATTGATAATTTTGATTTTCACGAAAATCTAATGTAAAATATACCTTTCCCTACTAATGTATTTTAAGGCGTTACATTTTAAGCAATAATCTCTCTTTTGCATTTTAATGCATTAAACTTTGTGAAATTTATCTTCGAAAATAGCAGCCAGCATATTGTTACGAAATGTCCAGGCGCGGTAAGATAGCTTCCCCGCAAAGCAGGTTTAGGGTTGCCATAAAATGGCAAGGGAAGGCAGGGTTGCTACATTTGGCGATAAAATTGGCGATATGCCATGGACGGATGGAGAACCTTCTGGAACAAATTCTTAACGGTTTAGCCCAGAATGTTCTCGAACACAAGCCAAAAACTATATAAATCCTGCTGGTACGCGAAGAGCCGTAGTGCGAGATAGTTAGTCTCGAGTTGGTCAGTCCGTGTAGAGTCCATCGAGTTGACAGTCGGTCAGCGAGTGCCGAGTGGGTCGTCGAGTGCATCGAAGAGTCTCTTACTGTATCGCGGTTAGTGCATCGTCGAGAGAGTGTGTTAAGCTCCGGGAACGACTGAACCGAAGAGTTGGGAGCTGTGCTCTGTGTGTCGTTGAGTGCATCACGAGTTGTAGCTTGGAGATTCTCGAGAATACGTAGAGTTCTAAGAACGACTGAGTAGAGTCGGGAGCTATACTCTGGTGCTTTGCAGTGAAGCTGGCTCCACCGTTATTGCCTGACAGCGTGAAGGCTGGGTCGCTGATTGTTCCAGCGTGTTTATAGTAGATCTTCGACCACTGTAAAAAGTGACTTTGGAGCTGTCCTGATCAATATTGGCTAAATAAAGTGTGTTTCGATACTTCATCAAGTGTCGTCGTTATTCACTCCAACTATACGAACTCCGTACGAACTCGAAGAAAATACGTAACAATATGTAAAATGTAATGGTTTAGAATATGCGCTGATATAACTTACTCACAACAGTAACTAAAAAATGTAAAAATTAAATTATGCCTGTACGCAAATGACGTAGTAAAGACACGGTTCGCCCGTCCTTACATTTTTACGCCCGTGCATTTTTAGGGCTGCAATTTTCGATGAAAATTACGGATATCAGGTCAGTTATACTCAAGTTGACATTTATAAGGAAACATTCCTCTTTTATCTTAGAGTTTTATTTTCGTTATTGCTAGGGGAAACAGGGAATTGGAAGAGCAACCCCTTTGAATTTTTGCAGTTTATTCTAAAATACAATCTCCAGAACAAAGTTTCAAATATTTTATTACTATTGAGAACGTTCCTCACAATTATGTAACACTGTATGTGTTGCTAATACTTATAACAGTGCGTTGCTATTTGTAAGAGGAGTTTTATGAATAAAAAGCACTTGAGATGTGTAGACTAACAAATGTTTATTTTGTATTCAAGAAGCCTTTTATACTTCTACATGGCAGCAACTGGAGTCATCAAGAACGCCGCTGCAATGCTATCAATAGCTGTGCGTGCAAAAAACAAGTAAAATAATAATATTATTTAAAAATGTTATAAATAAAGCTTTTTTTTAAAAAATAAACAGGATTTTAAATTTATTTCCCAACACATCATTTTGATATTTTCGTTGGTTATTTGTATATAAAAAAGGGTGGTACATTTCGGTAACGCGTGGGGCGGGAAAAGTTCTAGGTACACCACTGATTGGTTAACGCCAGCATTCAGTTTGTTTTCCAAAAAATATTTTCGACGAATCTCATAAACCTTTTCTAATGAATATAAATTTTAAATATAGAAAATTAATATATAAAATTAAATTTCTGTGTTTCTTTAATCAGGCATACATTTCTTCTAAGCACAAGGAGAAATTAAAGTTAAAATAACATAACAAAATCTTTCAAATACAGTGGTTAACAGATGTCACCACCTTAAGCGTATAAAAGTGCAGCCATTACTCCAATGAAACATTAAATTTTCATTCACAAGTTTAATAGTTAAACTGCATGTTTTAGTGTGCAATACTAAGTGTCTAGTTTCTATACTATATCTATTAAAATTAAAATCTAAACTTATTATACTTAACCTGCAAAAATAATGTTACTAAAAGCATTGAAGCAATAAAATGCATGCACCTGTATCCAAGCATCTTAGGAAGAATTTTAAACTAAGTTAAAAAAATCAATTTTAAGCATAATTAAAACTGTCTTATAAGATGCTTTAATATATAAAGGGAGAGAGAAGATCAAAATTCTACATTAAAATGACTAAGTTATCCAAGAAAAAAAAAAAAAGTGTTATTTCAACATAGGCCGATACTGGTCCTTCTTCTTCGAAAAGCAATTATATTCTGCGTTGTTTTCAAGGAAATATCTTAATTTAAATAGATGGTACAAAAGTAAACAGAAAGCAAGATCTCTAGCTCTCTCTATTAAATAAAACAGTGAACGGAAGATTAACAGATTGTGAGAAAAGTATTTAAGAAAAAGAGGATTTGAATTAAAGTCATTGAGAAAAACTGACAAACTTTGATGAATGTGGAAGTCTTCATGAAAATTTAAATCACCCACAACCTAAAAAGGACTTTTTTTTGGAATAATTTTATTTGAAGTAAACTTAAAAAATGTTTAAGTGTCCATCAATGATTACCGGTTTCATGTTAATGGTAAGATTGAAAGCTGCGTAAACTAAGACACAAATTTAACTAGGCAAGAAGGATGTCTCTTCAGATTATTGTTTCAGCTAGGGTGCTTTTCGAAATGTCCTTTGTTGTTGTTATGTTATTCTTATTCATGTACCTTTGAAATGCAACTTTTACTTATGCCATGCTACTTCTACATATTTTGAAATGCTATCACTATTTGCTAGCATTATTTATATATCGCTTTATTTATGCTTTAAATCTTCCTTCAACTTCTTAGGACATACCATAAATTCAAAATGAAAGCATAAACTTGACATGCGACACCTTGAAAGCCAATCTGAATGGAAAGATATTCCCTTTCATTAACAAAATGATTCCTGATTCTTTGAAGTGCAAGTAATCCTTGAAGGTATTAAGCCAGATTTGAAATTTAGAAGAAGTATTAGTATTCCTTATATAAGTTGTTTAACATACACCGGAATAAAAAATGTCAGGACTATCGCAAAAATTGAAATTAACTTTTAAAAGATTTGTATCCCCATGTATCTTTAATGCAATAAACAGAACATGCAATTCTGTGCAATCGCAATATATATGTAAGATAAGATAACAATGTATGAATCAGAATTATAATATAACTATAAACATTAATTCTTCCTCTCTATTCTAAAATCGTAATAACTTATCTGCATTGCGTCATTTAAATTAATCATGCGATCTTACGTAACCGTTAATACCAGATGCCTCTTGACGACCAATCACCGAATTGTAAACCAAAACTTTTCTCTTCGCGTGCTTCCATCTTTCATAACGACGCACTTCAGCTTTTGCTCTCTACTGTGCTAAGATGTAATTTCGCTGGCTTGCTTTCTATCCAACAATATCAAAAATGTAAATCTTCTGTGGAAAGGCACGACTAGAGTGCCAAGTGATTGTGGCCACAAATATCAATTGGAAATAAAATGGAATTAAAACTGCCTCGACTGCCAAGTTCTTTAAATACTACGCAATCAAAATTCTTC